TTGCTTTCAACTAAAATTTGGCTTTAATTAGCTACATGTAAACACCGAGTTACTTTTGATGGCTGATGTTGAAGTCGGCAATCGCAATATCAAGCAGGTATCATTTCTCCATTTTAACAAAACTTTTATAGGGTAAACATGATTTTTCAAAAGCACACCATCATGTAACTGGAGGTGCTATCGAACGTAATCACAGAGTTAATTAAATTAATTTTATTATTGAAACATTTTGGTCCAACATTATTATGAACAATTCACGTTCACGACTTCTAGTGGCACATTTATCTGCTCCGATTACATATACATAGTTTTGCGATCATCAGTAGGCATTTCTTCCATTGCCGTCTTAAATAACCTACCAAAAGGCGTTATATAGGATGGTTAGTCGCACAACGCTGATATATTTCGATATCATATATCGATATATATTTCGTTGGCAAACGGAATAACTTTGAAGAACTATTCCACGTTCATATCAATTTTTAAATTTAAAATTTCTGGCTTGTTGGCAACCATTTTCAAAATTATTACTCCTGTTTTTTATGCATTTAAGGACGTTTCGCTCATTAAAGGCCTTGCCATGATTTACTTAAGATATATATATATAATTTAAAATTGGTGTTTCGTTTATTAAATTTGATGGATTATTATGGAAGATATGGACCGGCTATAAATATAACGTTGCGTTGGTTTCGAATTGGGGTCCCAATCATTAAATTTTATGGCACATTAAGTGAGATATCGTGTGGTAACACACCTTTGAAAAATAATTATATATGTATATTTAAGCGCGTATCTAAATAAATAATTTTCCGATTGGTATGTTTACTTATTTCAAATATTTTACATTCCTACATAACCAACACAGTTTTTGATAGCAAATTTCCCCCATAATCCCGAAAATAGACCCAGTTGATTCGAATTAAAATTGTGGCTACACTTACTACATAAGTATAAAGCATTAATTAGTATGTATTCACATGCTGTCTAATAGATTCGAAAGATTCGATGGCTACACCGCAGAGATCTCTAAAATTGTTATTTCTATGAAGGTTATAGTCTTCGAACACCTGTAACTGAATTGTTTTACACGAAATGACCTTGAAATTCTTTCTGCAGAATCTCGTTAAGTACAACAATTCATACACACATACTTACATATATAGATACCTATGAGGCCATAGAAATAACACTAAAATCAGAAAATGCACTTGTTCTGTAGCACAATCACACAACAACAATAATAATAAAAATAACAATTATTACAAAGCATATTTTCCAGCGAACATGGACGCTATTTCCACAGCATCTCAGCTCAACAACGCTTACAAAGAAAGAGAAAAAGAAAGCAAAACCTGCAAAATCTGCAGTAAGAACTATAAACTGCTGCAACCGACGATAGATATATGTATGTATGTAAGTATGCAAGTAAGTATGTAGGTGGCTAAGTGCACGCACACACTATATACATACATACATAAGTAAATACATGTCGCGACCTGCTAAAATGGCTCGATTCACACATCACATTCATCCTGCTTGACCGTTAGATTCTATAAAAATGTTACTTTTACCTGTTGCTGCTGCGAAAAAATGTATGTAAAGTGCAAGATGACAACAAAGACAGAAACACCAACAATAACAACAACAACTGCAATAAAACAGAAAAAGGTTCCTTTCATTTGCCGCTTAACCCATTAATGCCTGCCCATAGACCCGCTGGTACGATTTTGATGAAATTTTTAAATATGTGCCTGGGAGGCCATAGAAGTTGATAGAAAAAAAAAAAAAAATTTTTACATGCGAACACACCTTAGATATGACATGGGTATTTAAATACCCGACAGGCATTAACATTAACTTTGAAATAACTCCAAAAAAACACCTTTGGCTATTGTTTTGACGTTTTGTGCATTATTGACATTTGCCAAATGTTTTTTTATGCACCATCATCCCACATGTAAAAAAAATACTTATAGTGATATAAAAAGGTAAAATAAACAAGAAAAAAGTGATAAGAAATAAATTGGCTGATTATAAACAATTGTAAGTACACATGATCTTTTTTCGTTATATTTTATGTAAAATTATAAATATATGTCTCAATATATTATAGAATATTCAGAATGATTCGTCGGCAGAAAGTTCTCACTGCTATCGAGCTGCAAGCTATCGAGCTGCAAGCTATTTTAGATAGTTGGTCTGATGGAGATAGTGATGGAGAGGATAACTTTGTCCAACACGCAGACGCCGTTGATATTATCATAACGCCACCCGATGTCGTCGATATTCTGAGTGACAATGAGGAATTGGACGACAATATTCAATTGTTGCGCGATGACCCGGAGCTGCCTCATGAGATTGCAGGGCAATTTGAAATTCTATGCGTTTACGATGACAGCAACGAGCACTTGCCATCGGGTTGTGATGGTGATACCGTAAATGAACCCGATTTTGAACAAGAAGAAGAAGATGATACACCGGTGGCCTCGACATCTAGTGGTCGTGGTCGCAAATCAACGCTTAAATCAAGTAAGCCACCTAAGCGACCCAGAATCGAAGAGGGCATGAAACCAAAATGGTCTCGGTCGCAAAATTATCAATTCACTAAGATTCCATTCGATGATTCGGCCACTTCACACAAAGCGTTGTATGAGAAAATTGGTGACATGAATCCAGTGCAGCTTTGGGAAATGTTCATCGATGAGGAGGTGTTGAACCTGTTGGTTACTTCAACCAACCAATATGCTGCGACCAAAAATTGTCCTTCGTTCATAACATCAATTAGCGAAATGAAAACGTTTGTTGTATATAACCGGTTACCATACATTGCCGCAAATACATAGTTATTGGTCAAATCGGGAATCATTAGGATGCGCGCTAATAAAAGAATGTATTTCAAGAGACAGATTCAAACGAATCAAACAGATCTTTCACGTGTGTGACAACTCAGCATTGGATATGAAAAACAAATTTGCAAAAGTCGCACCATTGAATGACTTATTGAACAAAAAATTTCTTCAATTTGGTGTTTTCTCTCACAACCTTTCCATTGATGAACAAATGATTGCCTACTACGGCCGACATTCGTGCAAAATGTTCATCAAGGGAAAACCAATTCGTTTCGGGTACAAGTATTGGTGTTTGGCTTCGTCAGAAGGCTACTTGTATCAACTACTTCCATACGCTGTTGATCAGAACAGGAGGACCCAGGTTTCGGACTGGGAGAACGTGTTGTGCTATCACTTCTTTCACATCTGGAGGCCCGCGCCAAGCACACGGTTACCTTTGACAACTTCTTTACAAGTCACAAACTTATGACTCGTTTGTCGAACGATGGATTCTTCGCTTTGGGAACTGTTCGTGATAATCGGACCAATCATGCCCATTAATGAACATCAAGGAAATGAAAAAGAAGCCTCGCGGGACGTCTGACTTTCGTTTCGACACGAACAATTCTATTTTGGCGGTGCGTTGGAATGATAATGCGGTAAGTTATATGTGCAAAGAAACATTTCAATTTGACTATCGGTTCATTTTGATCTTTACGTCCATCGTTGATGTGTTCTTCATTCATTCTTATCTTTTCAGGTCGTGACCTTATTATCGAATTTCCTAAGCCATACACCAATGGTCCGCGCGAAACGGTATGATCGAAAGCAACGGAAAATGGTTACTATTGAGCAGCCGTATTTGGTCAACGAATACAATCATCTTATGGGAGGTGTGGACCTTTTTGACAATGCAATGAATAATTATCGAATTCGGATTCGGGGAAAAAAGTGGTATTGCCCTTAATAACAAATGCGTTTCACGCGGCTATGGTAAATGCATGGAAGTTACATTGCTTCTGTCGCAAGTATGACAAGAAGCCACCGATGTCTCAATATGAATTTCGAGTGGAGGTGTGTGAATCGATTATGATCAAGTCCAGTTATCATCATCCGGGTAGAACGTCGGCTTCCGGGGCACAACTGGCAATGCGTTACGACCATATGGATCATTTCATCGGAAAACTTAATACTCGTCATCGTTGTCCGCAATGCGGTGGCAAAACTGAATATGGTTGCTTGAAGTGCCAAGTGAACTTGCATCCCGCTCCTTGCTTTCTGGATTACCACAACGGCGTTGAACCAGATAAGAAAAAGATTGCCAAGGCTAAGTAATCTATTTCTTATAAATATAATAATTTCTCAGTAAAATAAAAAAAAAATTCTATTTAATTATGCGTTTTATTCACTACAAATTAAATGTTTCCATATAGGAAAAAAAAGACTTTTTGTGTACCCACATTGGACTGTCGGGTATTTAAATACCCATTTTCATTTAACCAGGTGTAACGGCCAGGTGTGTTGAGATATCTCTATAGCGTTTTTTTCATTACATGAAGGACACCTGAAGCTATCTGGTAAGGTGAGCTTTTTTCGTTTTTCCCATTTCCCTATATTTGGGAGCGCTTTTCCTAAGCATTTTCCGATAAAAAAAAAACTCGATTTTTGGCTTAAAAAAAAAAAGTTTTTAACGAAAACAATATACTGACATAATTTTATTTTTTAAGGCCCATTCTTCCTCTTCAATCAAAAAAAAAATATAACTTCGATATCTCTTTCCTAGCCCGAGCTAGAATTGTGACACCACTTTCTTGGGTATTCAAATACCCATTAGGCAGGAATGGGTTAACGCAAAATCCCTAAAATCCTACTGTGCATTCGAGTGTTTGACCATTGTACGGGTACTTGAGAGTTTGAAAAGGGGATTGCAACAAATTCCAGCAGCGTTGTTACCTATAGCGGATTCCCGCTTACTTTTCAAGTGCTGCGAATAATTTGTTATTGTTCATACATCTATGTATATGTAGGTGGCAGCGCGGCGGCAGCGGGTTGCCATTGCAGTGCATTTGGTAAATAGTACTCTATGGATGTTTGTAATGCAAAGATATGCTCTGATGTGTTTATATCTATGGATACATATATAAACATATTCGCACTATATATAGGTATGTATGTATGTGTGCACGCCTATTAAGTGTCACTTTGATTTGGTTGTGCCTCAAAGTGCTCAACGTTGCTGAATGTCCAGTAATGTCACATAAATAGTGACCTATGAGCGTTTCTTAGAATGAACTGATTGCGTAGATTTAGATAGATTTTTTCTAATTCTTCCAAAAACAAGCCCAATCTGAAATATATGAAAGAAGTTCTTGTCCATAAATATGTCGCTTCAAGGGAATAGGCTGGCGATCGACTCCACTGCAGTGCACTGGAACACAAGTAAAATATCAATATGTAGACGGCTTAGTTTAGATACCTGCTTCTGCTCCAGCTGGTATTTCTAAACCAATATCCGATATATATTTAAATTAAAGCGCTCGCGTAACGACGATCAGACACAGTTCCTGCCTCCTGAATATTACTCACAAGAAGAACGCTTCTAAGCATGAGCTTGTTCAATGACCCTTTCACACAAAAATGAAAACTAGTAAGGGCAACGCTGTCTCCGAAGGCTTCAAACCTTTCACAACATCAAAGATTTTTACTTGGGAGCTAAACAAAATTTGTATGCAGTGAGCATACATAGATAGAGGAGTTATAAAACAAATCATAACTGAAAAATCTGTGGTATGCAAGTTATGCCTTATAAACAGTGATGCTCAAACCAGCGCCCGCGGGCGGAAGTCTTCAAAGCTCTCTGTAGATTTTACATGGATGCGCACAGAGTAAAAGCTCTCTCTGAGCATCACTGCTTATGAGGCACCGATCTAAATGATTTTCACTGCTGTGTATGATCGGTATATAAACTGGCCGTTCAAATGAAGAAGTTTTAAAGTAAAACTTCATATCTGAACAATCAGATGGATGGAAGCTACAGGTTATATCGACCGGATCTTTTTCATTTTCACTGATATTGAGTGATAAGAGGGCGAAATTTTGTGTTCCTATCTACATAAATCGAGGAGTTATAACAAAAAATCTTATATCTTATATCAGTTGTATGGGAGCTATATGTTATAGTGGTCCGATTCTCCCCGTTCAGACAAATAATATATACATTATAAAAATACACTCACTTACCAAGTTTCAGTCGTATATCTCGAAAGCTGCGTACAAGTAGACGGGCAGACGGACATGGCTAAAACGGCTAGAATAACTATATGGGTACCAAATTCAAGAGAAAATTCTTTAGAATTGAAAAAAAAAATCATTTTTTTGTGCATAAGGGCGAAAAGTTATTGAAAATGTCTTTTTACAATTCTATCCTTGAATATCCTTGAAGATTTGCATTATGCTTTGTAGTTGGGATTCTCTTTACCCATAAACATTTATCTTTTCCTGCGGAGTGGAGAGAATTCGCAACTGTCTCTCAACTCACAGTTGATAAATGGCTTTCGTAAGAGAGTTGTCAATTCAGGCAACTTTCTGGAAAGATCTTTACTGTCATCCGAAAGACTAATTGAAAGAACTCCTAACGAGAAGGTCGTAATACGTTTTTTTTTAAATAAATTTTATGAAAAAATATTAATATTTTTGTTTTTAGAAAATTAAAAATAATAAGAAAACTAAATTAATTAATTATATTGCAAAAATAAAAAAAATTGAATTGCAAAATAAAAAATGAAATAAAATATGTTGTTTCAAAATATAATTAAATTAAAAAATTATAGTAAAAAAAGAAAAGGGTTCCGAGGTTTTGAATAGGGATCTCTCGAAAAGCAAACTAAAGCTTTGCCATTATGACTGTTGTAGCGACGCGAGTTCAATGATACACAAGTTCTTTCGCTCAAAATAGCTTTACAGCAGTAGTGCTAAATGAGAGAGCATTTTTTCTAAGACTTTCGTACTAGAATAACAAAAGTGCATCGAGCGATCTTCCTATCTATCTTTCATTCGCCTAACGCAAGACTTTTTACTAACTTACCCAGAGTTGCCCTGTTAAGCACATCCGCGTTATAGCAGCCTCTGCAGAGGTCATTGAGAGAGACGTTCTGCTTGTGTGTCCATAAAGATATATTCTGAGATCAGCTGGTGAAAGTTAAGTAGGAGTACCGTCTCTGTATGTAACTGTGTCCGGTACCTACAACCGGCTTGCTTTTCTCGTAATACATCCATGAAAATAATAAGGAACGCCCATCAAGTCTTATATTTCACTTATGTCAGTTCAATAAAAACCCCGCCTATTTAAGAAAAGTTACATAAAAGAGGCTTGTACCTATTTATTATAATCTCGGCATTGATTGCTGTGCATTACTTCTAGTTATCCCTATTTATTTTTTTATAGTCCTAAGCTACTTACATACATGAGCC